TTACATTAATCTAATAGAATCATAGTTTTGCTTAAGTATTGGTGAGGCATGCTATGGCCATATCAAACTTGTGGAAATCTACAGCTGTATTTCAGTTTGCACCACCATATAAAATAATTGATTTTCAAAAGAGCTGGTCACTTGCAGTTTTCATTTAAGTCAGTGTGCTCTGGGTGCTTCAAACCTTAGATTAATATGGTTCTCTTACTTATTTAGATATAAAATAAACAGGAATAATTCCAGAACATGAAAAAACTTAACAATTATTTGATGTTGCTTCAGGCTTTGAAGTGAGATGGCATGTCTCACAACATTCTTTTTCTTTTTAAGTTTTATTTGGCTGTGAGGCACTTGAGAGTATTTCAAACTCTTTTGCAACTATATTTTCAGAACCCTAAAAATGGAAATGCTAACCTATCAGCATCTTTTTAAAACACTTTCAAAAAGTCATATAATGTACATGGGAAATAAAAGAAACAGAAAACAGTCTCTAACTGGGATACACACTTTCCAAAACACTGCTATTTAAAGAAAAATTGTAAATGTGTGGATAGTATCTTTTGAGATGAAACATCTCATTTATAGAAATTTCCTGTCTGATTTTAATAACATGCGAAATTAAACACATACATATTAATCATATGCATCATATCAGATGCAGGCCATGAAAACGCAAATGTTTACATTTATGGGTGGCTCCTTAATGTTTCATTATGAGAAACACTAGGAGGCATCAGTTGGGTAAAAAAGGAGTTCAGTTTAAAAAAGAAAAAGTAAGAAATTACCAGGACTAGTAAACTATGAAAGTTTGATACTTTCAAATGTTACTATAGTATATGCCGTATATATTCCCTGCAAAAATGGCCTACACTTCATATTATATTGCCAAATTACAATGTAGTAAAAGAAGAGGCACGTAATTGATTTGCTAATTAATTTTTAAAACATGCTATGTTTTAAAACATACAGATGTAACACAAAGTAAAGCTGGATATTGTATTTTAAAATATAATGGAATAGTCCTGGAATTAAGATAATTTACTTAATGCTTAGTGCCACACTTTCGCTAAATTGTAAAATTCAGATGCTTTTTACATGTTTTCCTAGTAGGATAAGTGCTATGAATTTAGTATAGTGTCAGGCAGTTTCAAGAACAATCTATTTGCTGTAGTAGGATATATCACTTACCCATTTTTTTTTTAAAAAAGCCTCCAAAACACGCACATACTCTAAAGTCTATTTTCATCAAGTATTGAATAAACAGTGATTTTTTTGAAAATCATACAACAATGCTCTATGTGGATGGGTTTTTATCATGTCATAGAAAACCAATATTTTCAAAACTGAATTTTCTGTACTTTGAATTATATTTAACAATAACTAAGCAACAAGGTTATAGTATCCTTATATAATAATCAACTGAAATTGACGTGTGCCTTGCCATGCTGCAGCAATCAGCTTTTATCTCTGCCCGATCAAAATGACATGTGAACTGCTTAATCCTTCTTTTGTAAGGCACATAAGACTTTGTTGTCACTGTTGGTTTTGTGAACCGCCTATATAAGCTGGTCTGATTTCCTAAAGATGACAGATCCCGGTGAACAGCCAAGCTCTACTGCACTGCAGTCAATGCAACTGTGAGATTAAGGTACAGTACTAGACACTAGCTTTTAATCACCTGTCCACATGTAACATATTGACCATCAGCTCTCAGAAGATTAGCTTAAATCCCTTCAGAGCAACCAGGCAATTACTTTATTCATAACATGAAAAAAAGCATATTTCAATTAGTTCAGTTTTTCACTTATAACTTTCATAGTTCATGCTAACCATGTGTATGTTTTATTTTTGAAATAGGTGAAAAGATATATTAACCCCTTCATAGACTGGCCTGATATTGTTAATCTTAGTGCTAAAGTTTTATACCTCTTAAATTGCAAATAAACCTGTTTTTAATTTTAGAGGGTTGTCCCTAAATCACCAACTAGACTACGTAGATGTAGAAAATCATCTCTGTTTATATTATACGTAGGGATTAAAGAAGCCTGAAGTGCATTAGAGAAATAAATACATTAATTATATTCCAAAGTGTCGCATCATGATATAATAAAACTGCTATTTTGTTACAGATAATAATATATATATTATTTTCCACAATCAGTGTACTTACAACAACACCAAATTATCTTTTTTAAAATATTTTGTAAATTAATGTGTAATTTAGTAACTTGGTCCAACAGGTGAAAATGAAGTCGAGAACTATAAAACATTCTTTTATGCATCCAATATCAAGTTATGACTTTTTGCTCAAGAAGATAAAAGAACTACTCTTAAGGATGCACACTACTATTTTTTTACTGATTAACTGAAATTTTAACCTGTTACAAAAAGAGTAAAAGAAAGAAAAACTTAAAAAGGCAAAAAGTATTTAATTTAAAACGTCTAAGCGGCTGTTAAGTTTCTACATAGTTATTTAACTATATCTTCCTATTACAGGGATACACAAAGAAGTTAAAAACATTCACAGTCAAAAAAACTTTTAAAGATGAACAGGGAAAAAGTCTGGAAAGGTTAATTTCTGTTTGTCCATAAGGCACTAAATATTTTAAACTCACAAGATAAAACTGTTTACATGATCATCTCTCTCTCCCCCTCTCTCTTTTCTGTGTGTAATTTACATACAAAGTTGTTTATCAAGCAAAGCTGTACACATTCTAAAAAAAAGCATTAAGTAAAATCTTCAAACTACTCTGAAAGTAGAAGAAGCTTAAAAGTAAAATGTGCTTCTCTGTAAGGTATTCATAAATTGGCAATCCAGACAAATCATTCTGAAAGATTTTATCTAACATCCCATCATTTACTGTATCAGCAACACTGGAAGGCATGTTAAAAATTAAATTGGCTTTTGATTAATCAAACAGTCTTATGAGAAAAAAACTCTGAGAACACAGGATATAGTATGTTACAACTCTATCCTTTTATAAGGAAATTTATGTGGCACTCTGCTCTTTCACATCTTATGACAACTGCCAGATAGACATCTGATTTAAGATCTTCTGTCTGTGGGCTTGCTCCTGAAAACAGTTATCCACATGAGTTGTCTATCCTGACACAAGTAGTCTTATTGTCATCAGTAGGTCTTGTTTAAGGACTACTTGCATGAATTAAGGTTTCATTATCAGGCCTTAGATTTGTTCTTCATATCCTGTCCATGTAGAATATATAGTAAAAAATGTATATGTCAAATTTTAAAAACTAAATACCATGTACTGCAGAAGTATAGGCACTATGAATTTAGGGCCCAACCCTTAAGTTCTTACTCAGTCAAGCCTTTCAGAGTCTTCAACAAGAGTCAATATTTGATCCAATATGAATTACATATTTCATTAAAGTACAGAGGAAATGCATATATTATGTCATAGTTATATATTCATTTAAATAAAATGGCTAAAATTAAAAAAAACACTGAGATTTCTGGTTGGTTGGTTAGTTGTTTTTTGCTGCAGCACAATGTTCTAAACATCTTCTAACATTAATAATTTAGAAAATGACAAATTTCCAAAGTGGCCAACTGAATGAATGCTTGAATCAGAAATCAGCAGGTGATACAGAGGGTTCAAACTGGTTCACAGGTGGTTATATTTCCATGCCCTGCCAAGCCTCTGGGGATTAGCATTATTAAAGTCCATATAAAATCTTTCCTCTGCAACCACAATACCCTGCAAAGTGCCAATAAAAAGAAAGCTAGTCACATTTTGTCTAATATAATTGGTCTGCTGGCCCCATATCTCTTTAAAAAGAAATCAATGAAATTAGAATATAATTTAGGGCAACTGTCATAAAATGTATTATCAGGTATGTGCTAGGAAAGGGCATTTTGTGTCTAAGCAATTCTCCGCAGACCACCAGTAACATTGGCAAAGTGCCTTTCTCTGCTTAAATACTGTATCTTCATATTAAACTATATATTTAGATATTTTGTTTTAAAAGACAGGTGTTTGTTAATCATAACCACCCATATACGACCAATGATAATAAAAAACTTTCTTTAAAAACATATAATCACAGGGCCCTGAAGTGACAGAAATTATTCAGATATAAAGTTTTGCTTTGCCATGTGTTTTTTACCCTTTTCATGTACTTTTAGAGTAAAAGAATTAATAGTACAGTTTTATTCTTTTTTGGTTCTCCAAGATGACAGAACATCATACAAAATTAACTAGAAAACAGAAGTACTACAGATCCATAATGCACTAGCAGTCTCTCAAAATGCCCTCTTTACACCAAACTTTCTCTTAGACCTTAAGTAACTTTAATCAAATGTAAAAAATAGAAAGTTTTGTAAAGATTTAACCTTACTCACTCTTACCACTAAAAATATGAAGATTAGTATAAGATGAATACCAGAACTTGCATACTAACAGAAGTATATAACATATGCCATAATGAAAACTGCTTCTCCATCTCAAACTTAAAAGTGTGACAAATGGAGATGCAAAAAGGCATACACCTATAAGCATGCTTTAACTAACACTAAATGCAAGAACTGAAAAGAGCAGTGGCATATAACATTTAAGAAGGTTTTTGTTTGTTTGTTTTTGCTGCCATGCCTGATTGTTTTCTAAGTGAATTGTTTGATAAATAGAGGGCAAGTACTACAAGGTCATATTAAAACTAAACAAACTGCACACACTTCATGATTTCAAGCACACTAATGACACCACCTAACTTCATGAAACTTTAAACACTCAAGAGATGGATGGGGACATGCTTGGAGTAATTTGAATAGCTGGCAAATTAAGTAAGTTGCATGACTAAAAAGTTACTTTAAATCAATTGATAGTGGAATAATATATTTTGAAAGTATACAACTAACCTCAATCCCAGCATACACACACAGAGACTTATACATTCTTCCAAATGCAATAGGCTATGTATATGAGGTTCATATACAATCTCCATGTTATTTTATTTCCATTCTGAATTTCATATGTACTTACATTACAAACATTTAGATGAGCAGACAAGTCCTTGAGATATTTTCCTTTCTTGGGGAAAAAAAGAAAAAACAAAAAACCCGTTACTTCTTCCAGCCTTTTAAGTGTTCACCACCTGGTTCAACATGCAGCCTCCTTGAACCACACACAAGCCTCAAAGTCAATCCAATAGCAGCCAGAAGACGTCTGGTGTGTGTCTCTCTGTGTGTGTGTGTGTGTGTGTATCTGTATGTGTGTGTGTGTGTGTGTGAGCACACAGTGGAGGAGGAGAAAGTGGCTGTGCTGCTGGCTGGATTAAAAGTAACCGGACTCGTCCTGAAAGCGTCCAGGAAGGAAGTGACAGAAGGCGAATGGGAAAAAGAGAGCAGCTCACAGCCTTTGTAACATCGCGGAGGGGGAAAGAAAGAGGCAAGGAAGGGATTCAAAACTACACGCTTGATGAGGTGTCCTTTTCTGCTTCTCTCCCCCTTCCTCCCTTCTCTCCGTCTCTACTTCTCCTCTCTCTCTCTCCCACAATCCCAAACGAATGACTCTCTCCTCCCGAGCTGGAGAAATAATCAGTTTCACTCTTGCAAAAAGGGGGCGGGATCAGATCCCGAAAGCGTTTTAATAAAACAAACATAGAGCAACGGCAGCGGCGGCAGCTCCTTTCCTTGCCCCTCTAGTCTAAACTAGATTGATAAATTACTCCACTCCACTACTTTAATTATGTATATGGTATGCAGAATAAATCACCGAACATCAGCACCTCAATCAAGCACTTTTTAAATGATAATTGCATCTTGGGTGAATCAATCTCTCCATTCCTGACATTTTGCTAATTTTAGTTTTACGGTGAGGGTAATGGCATATGCCACACGCAAACCTAATGACAATCCTTTATTATACAAAATTAAGAAACACGACGAGCTGGTGCATCTCCTCCCCCCCAGCAATAGGACACAAGATCACAGCAGGCACTGGGAGCGAGAAACACTGTGGGCCAGCTCATAAACAACCACGGCAAATGCTGCGCACCCTGGAATTGTTGCTAATAAAGGGCGCCCACCCCGGGGCAACACTGACACAAAACAATCGCTGCCGGAACGCGAGGAGTTATGGGGGAAAGGATTGAAAAATGTTTTAAACGCTGCTACCCTACTATGCTCGTGATCATCCCCATGGGTGTTTAACCTGGGCATCAATCCATTCCGAGTTCTATGGACAATAAAGCGGAGATGGGTACCCAGTTGAAACCGAGGATGTCGGCAATTACTAAAGAAGAATAAACTGAAAGGGGCGCTGAAATGCAAAGTCTGTGCGAGCAGAAGCTCCACTATCATCATCATCATCATAATCATCATCATCTCAGTAACTGGAGGCTGTGAGGCCAGCAACTTTTTAATCAGTTTCGAAACATAGCCAAACATATCTGTGCAGCAGGCGTATGTATTTTTAGCCCGCATGACATTTCCTACACAGTCTCTTCTTGCACCTTTATTGGCCTCATTCTTCAGAGCCTTCAGTCTGTAAACCAACCCAACTTCCCAAACTCATTAGACTTCCGTATCAAATTGCTGGTGACTTCACTTACCCTGGGCTGCTTCAGCTGCACAGGAAGCAGGCACGGGTCTAGGAGAGAAACAATCGTGATGCTAACGTTTGGGAGAATGCAAATATACAGCCTCCCTCGGCAAACAGGGCTGCTGTTAAAGTACAGTTTGCCTCACTGAACAACTCCAAACCCTACTGCCTGAGATGTTTCTTTTGCAGACTTTTCCACAGAAATGAAGTATTCCCAACACACTATATAAAAGGACAGAACCTTCTTCATATGCTCATTTACCTTTTTAACCAGTACTGAAAGGACTGTTCTGTATACAAGTCACAATTAAGCACACATAAAAATTTGTGAGTAAAACTATTTTGCAGAATCTTGTTTTAACTCTTAGATAGCCAACTTCTATAATGCTTGGAGAGCAACAAGAGATTTTATAAGGGTATATGCCATAACCAACAGCAGTAAGGGAAACCTGAAGAATATGTATAATGAAATGGAAGCAATGAATAAAACATCAGCGAGATGTATTTTGGTTTACTTAATTTTATTTCAAGGGCCTAATCCTACAAAAATGTTGCATGTAAACATCTTATTGGGCCACTGATTTATGT